ACTTGAAAATGTCAATAAGTCGTTAAAATGGTTAGTGGATACAATTCACACAGTGTGTGTGTATTAGCAATTGCCATTATATGCAGATATATTAAGAAACCAATTTATATTTTTCTTGTTTGTCCTTTAACTAGGATATAATAGAATTGACAAGTGACGCCATTTCGGTGCAGTTTTGTTGTGTTCAGGCAAGTGATGTGTATTTATTTATTAATTTATTTCAACAAATGAAACTCTGTTCATTAGCAGGTCCGTAATTGCATTAATGTCAACTTTTCAATTAATCGTTATATATGTGGGAACTCATTACATACATATGGATTTGTTTATTTTGTTTTCATGTTTTAGGACGTAGTAGCTGAGAGCAGTAAAATTAACGTGTCATCGCGTGTCTTCATTTCATCGATCCTAAAAGGTGTAGATGAATTCATAGAGGGCATCGCACTATCGCTTCTTCCCGGGGAATACGTACACGTAAATACGTCGAACATAGGTAACGTATGTTGCTGCAATGTAGTAAACAGAGCGTTTGAAATATTTGTACCCACTCAAAACATCAATATTTAGTCACATAATATGTTATTAACAAATCCTGATTCCAGTCAACTCATTTCAGCAGACTTGACGCTGTAAGTACTTATAATGCTTCTTGTATGGTATTGTACACACTGCTGTTCCTTGTATCAGATTGTCACTTGAATGGGCAATAGAAGATTTGTCGTTCGCTGCGAGAACTCGCGTAGTGCGTGAACGACGCGATAGAACGTTTGTCGCAAAAAAGGAATAGTACCTTACTTTATAAACAATGAACATCAATAATGGCGTATAGCACATTACTGAGCGTGGTAACAAATTTTGTACGCGTTTCTCCAATCCCTAGCGAAGTTTTGAAACTACTACGACGCTATGACGCTATGGTTCTGTTGTTACATTCGATTTCACGCATACCGTGAGATCTCACAGTGAACGTTAAATGGTATAACTTTACTTGACGTATATAGCGTATTTAATGTGGTTTGAATGCAGGCAAATATAACGCGAAGTGTGAGAGCGCCCTCCCATTTGTATGAATTGTTTGCATTTGGTTTATACTTTTGGAGGTACCAATATTTAAGGCTTCGATGGTGAACTCAATCAGTGTATTCTTGGGAAATGTCTACTAGACGTATATGGAAACTTACTATGTAAGGTAAAGTTGACAATGAGGGAATTCAAAATAGTTTGCAGACATGGTTCTGTATGGTTTTGTAGACATGGTTCTGTATGGTTTTATAAACATGGTTCTGTGTGGTTTTCTAGAGAAGGTTCTGTATGGTTTTGCAGACATGGTTCTGTATGGTTTTCTAGACATGGTTCTGTATGGTTTTATAGACATGGTTCTGTATGGTCTTCTAGACATCGTTCTGTATGGTTTTGCAGACATGGTTCTGTATGGTTTTGTAGACATGGTTCTGTGTGGTTTTCTAGACATCGTTCTGTATGGTTTTGCAGACATGGTTCTGTATGGTTTTGTAGACATGGTTCTGTATGGTTTTGTAGACATGGTTCTGTATGGTCTTCTAGACAT